TGATAAGAACTATTAGTCCGTGAGAGATTTAAAAAAAAAAAAAAAAAAAAAAAAGCATTTCAAGCCAGTTAGAAAGAAACACCTGTTTGAAAGTTCAACCTGTGCTGGAGCAATTACTTTAGACAGTTTTTTTGTTTTGTTTGTTTCGTTTGTTTTTTGAGATGGAGTCTCGCTCTGTCACCCAGGCTAGAGTGCAGTGGTGCGATCTCAGCTCACTGCAACATCCGCCTCCAAGGTTCAAGTGATTGTCCTGACTCAGCCTCCCAAGTAGCTGGGATTACAGGTGCCCATCACCTCACCCAGCTAATTTTTGTATTTTTAGTAGAGTCAGAGTCTCACCATGTTGGCCAGGCTGGTCTCAAACTCCTGACCTCAAGTGATCCTCCTGCCTCGGCCTTCTAAAGTGCTAGGATTACAGGTGTGAGCCACTGCACCTGGGCTTTAGTTTTTAAAGCTGAACTGTAACTGCTATTGAAATCACTTTCCAGTAGTTGCTATAAATTTCTAACATGTAGCTAATATATGGCTTCTTATGTTTTCAGTAGAAATTATTCTACTATAAAATTCTAGTTGAGGAAATAACTTCAAATCAGCTTTATGTCATCCAAAGTTACATGAAGTTTTATTATATTAGTGCACCATTATCTTGAATCAAGAGAATAAAATAATTTTTTTTGTTTTTGTTTTTTTGTTTGTTTGTTTTTTGAGATGGAGTCTAGCTCTGTCCCCCAGGCTGGAGTGCAGTGGAGTGATCTCGGCTCACTGCAAGCTCCCCCTCCTGGGTTCACGCCATTCTCCTGCCTCAGCCTCCTGAGTAGCTGGGACTATAGGCTCCCGCCACCACTCTTGGCTAGTTTTTTGTATTTTTAGTAGAGACGGGATTTCACTGTGTTAGCCAGGATGGTCTCGATCTCCTGACCTCATGATCCACCCACCTCAGCCTCCCAAAGTGCTGGGATTAGAGGCATGAGCCGCCGCGCCCCGCCAAGAATAAATTATTTTTTTCTCAAATTGAATAATTACACATTTGGACCATCTGATCAAATGTGCTTAGTTTACGGTAAGGCCTAATGAGCTCTTCTGATGAAGATTTCTGTCTCCCTATCTTTCCAGGTGGGTCTGGGAATAGAACATAAAAGAGGAAAGCTACTTTGAACCCTTCCAGTAACTTAATACATGGTTTCTTAACTAACTTCTTAATTTCTCCAACCTATTTTTTCCCCATTTCAGTTGGCTTTAGGGGAGAGTAAAATATGAGTAACAAAGAGCAATGATCCCTTTCCCACCTCCTCCCCAACCTCAAACAGGACCCAAACCCAGAAAGGTCCCACATCTGCTCCATGCTGGCCTGACCCCTGCTGTGTCCTGGCCCCTGTCCTCAGGCTCACCTGCTCTGGCTTTAGTACTCATATGACAGCCAGGGCTGCTCTGTGTGTTCTATCCAGGCCCTTCCTCCTCCACCACTGCCCGGGAACCAGGAGCATGCGCTGTCTGCCATACCTACAGTCATCTAGATTTTCTCTCCCAGCCCCAACAAAGCTGTACAGAGACGGGCTTCACAAACCTAGCAAATCCTGTTCTACTATGAGCTTCACTGAATGTTTTAGAAGTATTAACTTTTTATTATCTTTGAAAAGGTGCTTATGTAGAATCCAAAGGAAAGACTCCAACAGCTAGCCATGAGAAAGGTGTGGCTGGAGAAGGCCAGCTGGTCCCAAGACAATTCCATCCCTGATAACACAAGGTGGCATTATACTCACTGCTCAGAAACTCAAACATACTGGAATTCCAGAGTTGACCTCACTCAGGAACACTGATTCATTCTTTAAAAAGTTCTAAGAGAGATAGAGTAGCTACAATGTCAAATGTCATAGTTTAACTGTTGGATGGAATCTTTATCCCTTGTGTCAGGGTTATTTAGGAAGGAGTCGGAGAGGTCATGGTGTTCATCACTGTAGGCCTCTGAACTCCCTCGAATTAGTTTAACAACTTTTAGACTGACGCACTTATGACCTCCAAAGCAGGTAATCCAGTGAGCCTGATTTTAAAGAATTACCAGAAGGATCTTTAGGGATCTACATAGCTCATAGCTCCCCTTTTGCTCATACAAAACACTTCATAGAATATAAGTCTACAGCTATCTCTGGATAAACTGGTACCCCAGGAAGTTGCTGTCTGGGGAGAGCAGGGAATCTGTACTCCATCTCTATAAAGAGCCAAAGGCATCCACACAGTCTTAAAAAAAGTCAAGGGTGAAGTAAAATCATAACTAGCATTTATCTTGAGGATTACAGACATTTAATAACATGTGTCCTATTTATATGATGATATATATTATTAGGAATAACTATATTCTTTAAATGCACCCTTGAAAACCCAGCCCTGAATAAATTTGTATTCAGAAATATGAGACCTTAAAAAAGGTTTCTATTCCTAATAATTTCATGAATACCTTGGACTTTTTTCTCTTATAGAAATATCAAATTTTATTAATGGAGGAAAGAGTGTAGCAAAAATTAGATTTTTAAAAGGAATACTCTACCCAGTCTGCTGCCTTGTCCTGAAACTAGAGATGAGAAATACACATTTGTCTCAGATTCAGCCCTTGTCCCTTACCTCCCTCTTACCTTGGTTCACTCTGTTGTGGGGCAAAAACCATGTTTTATTTATCTTTGTATACCACATTGTCTGTGTAGATTAGATGGTTATTAAGTTATAAAATTCTAGCATTCAAAAAATATTACGTGACTGATTTGTTTATTTGATGAAATGTTGAAGAACTGTCATAAATAAGTGTTTCAGAGAAGCAAAAGAAGATATTTAAAGCACTTTTCAACTTTTTTAAACCACAACTGCTACAATTTGAATATGTGGCTGTGTCTTCTCCAAAATTCATGTTCAAACTTAGTCCCCACTGTGGTGGTATTAAGAGGTGAGGCCTTTGGGGAAAGTGATTAAGTCATGAGGACTCCATCCTCATCAATGGATTAGTGTCTTATAAAAAGACTGGAGAGAACTAGCATAGGTCCTTTTTGCCCTTCCACCATGTGAGGACACAGCATTTGCTGCTTCTGCCATGTGAAGACACAGCAAGAAGGCCCTCACCGACACTGACTGCCAGCCCCTTGCTCTTGGACTGTCCAGCCTTCAGAATTCAAGAAACAAATGTATTTTATTTATATCACTAAGTCTGTTAATTTGTTATAGCAACACAAACGGACAACTAACAGTAAGAAATACATTTTATATCATAATCCATCATATACATATAAACATATGCATATATTTTTCTGAAACAAAAGTTATAAACAAAAACCAGCTTACCCTCCATATACCTGATGCTTTGGTTATTTTCTATTCTGTTTCATGTTTTAAAACACTGCTCATGACCCACTAGAAGATTTCATACCCTTCCAATGTTTTGTGATCCACAATTTCAAAAATAGTGATTTAGATAACTATCTTCTAAGAGAAAATATGGAAGCAAACAATAAATAAACTGAAAAAGAGTTTTTAAATAATGGTTACTTACTTGGATATGGCATAAACAACATTGAATGGCATCTGCTGAAAAAATGGAAGAAAAGGCCTGGGAGGAAAAGGAAAACATAAATGTGTAGGACTTTTGCAATGAATGTATTCTAAGCTCTCTTCCAGCTCTAATATTTGTCCCTTAAAAATCAGTGAGCTTAAATATCCCATATATCAGTGCTACTTCTGGATATACAAAATCACTGAGGTGTGGGGAGGTTCTTGTCTAAAATGCAGATTCCCAGGTCTGGCCCATGATATTCAGTACATACAGGGTAGAGCCAATGAATGTGCATTCTTAATAAACACTCCAGTATTTTCTCTTCAAATAGTAAACAAGTCACAATTGAAGAAGCCACCCTTTAAGCCCTGTACTTGGGCTTCAGCTGGCCATTAGTTCCCATGAACTTCTCAAGTTCCTGAGACATTCTGAAATTCACAACGATTTAATCTAAAGCCTCCCCCTAAAAGTTAAGAATTGTACAGTTAACTGTATAGAATTGTATAGGTAACAGCTAAAAATTTAACTTCTCTGAAAAAGTTAGCATCACAAAATTTCCATAAGGAGGTTGCTCATAAATAATAATGTGGATTAGAAATTTACTTTCTCAAGGAAGCTTATGCAGATGTAGTATCAAGACTATTTTTTCTAACTCCAGTAAGATGTATAAGGAAATCCCCATCTAATTTTTATTTGATTTGAGTATATGGTTATTACATGAGCATAAATCACAAATGAAATAAAACTAACCTTTTGGCCATGTTGGTTTGGGCAAGATTCACACAAAGAGAACAAACATTATCCCTTTGAACACAAGTTTCCCCTTCACCATGACTTCATGGTATCTCCACTGTGTCTCACTCATTTGATGACTTCATTTCAAATGTTTTCAAATACATATTCTTAGTTGCAATCAGTATCTCTAAAGTCAGGCAGGCTTAGTTTGAACCCCAGATCTACCCCTGGCTAGCTTATATGACCTGAAGCAATCTATTTATCATCTCTCAGTCTCAGCTTCATTACTGGTAAAACAGGGATAATATATATCTTATCCTATATTTCTGTTGAAAAGATTAGGTCATATGCATGTAAAGCACTTAAAATAGAGTCTGACACATTGTATGCACTGAAAAATGATAACTGTTATTAGTATCATAAAGAGGTTCTCTAATAATATTAGAGCTCAAATATTCATTAGTAATTACATTCTACCTTTCAAAGTATTTATAGCGATTCTTTCCAGTAACTTCAGGATCTTCATAAACTTCTCTAGGCATCTGAAAAGAAGTGTCAGTTCTAAAATGAAGCAAGAAAACATCATTTAAGTCTAAAATATTTCCACATATAATTTCTATTTAATATTTCTATGTGTATAGAGTAGGAGTTACACAAAGTATCTCATACTGAGAGTAAAGTCTTCCATAACCTGCATTTGACTGTCATACAACTTAGAGTATATATGATTCTTCCCCTGCCCTGAGCCAGGAGACCCAGGACCTAGTCAGAGGGTAGATTTATGAAATCCTACATACAAAAAAAAAAAAAAAAAAAAGTAGATTTATGAAATCCTACATACAAAAATGCCCAATTTTAATTAAAAGGACACAAGAATAACAAAATATTAAAAGACAATTTTTTTTTAATTTATTTTTTTCAGAGTCTCGCTCTGTCACCCAGGCTGGAGTGCAGTGGCGCAATCTCGGCTCTCTACAAGTTCCACCTCCTGGGTTCACACCATTCTCCTGCCTCAGCCTCCCAAGTTGCTGGGACTACAGGTGACCGCCACCACACCCGGCTAATTTTTTGTATTTTTGGTAGAGACGGGGTTTCACCGTGTTAGCCAGGATGGTCTCGATCTCCTGACCTCATGATCCACCCGCCTTGGCCTCCCAAAGTGCTGGGATTACAGGCATGAGCCACCATGCCTGGCCAAAAGACAATTTTTCTATGTCCAGGCTAAAAGACTTTATACTTTTAAATTTACTAAATGCGAACTTGTAAGTAATTAAAATAATAAATAATTCAACTTATCCTTGAAGGTGCTTTGGCCGCAAGTTCCAAAAAATATTTTAGATATTAGCAGAAAAGAGCACTTTCAGTTGCTAAGTTGGATCCAAGCAACAACAAACTCAGTCATCCCTACCTTTGGTGGACAGTTGTCATTATATATATATCTCTATATAGAGAGAGATATATATGATGGAAAAAATATATATAATACATATAATCAGGCTTGTTTGGTCAAAAGAGGTTTAAAAAGAAAATTTGGTCTAGGTATAACACCACGACTGAACATTTTAAAACCACACATGGTAAATGAATTTAAAAAAATGTTTTTAATGCATTTATTTTAGGCCCTGGAGCCACCCGACACTTACATGGCAAGCTGCCGGAGGGCTTGTCTGTGTTTCTCCTCATGTCCCTTCCATTCCCGACTGATAAATGGTGGGACAGGATCTGACTTGCTCCAATATAGAGAATATCTTGGATAATGGATCAGGTTACTGAACATGGTTTTAAACCTGGGAACTTTTCTCTATCGTTAGGGAAGGGAGGCAAAGGACAAAATTATACCATCAGCTTTTCTAAAGTATTTTAATTACATTGTAAATTTTTTTTAAAAAGATACAAAACAATGTATATAATATAAGAAGAGGGGTTATTGCTATATACATAGAATATCTTTAAATGGATGCCCAAGAAACTGATGACAATGGCTGTTTATGTGGAGGGGGTGAGGGTAGGGCTAGAATTTATTTCGTACTGTGTATGCTTTTGTACTACTTAAATTCTTTTAACATGGGCATATATTATTATATTTATCCCATTGAAATAAATTAGCTTATGGGTTCTCTATTCATTATTAGTGACTTAATCCTCGCAACGAGCCACAAGTATTAAGATGCTTTGGCCCCCAGTAATCTTGGCAAAGTAATTTCTGTGGAACCTAAAATCCAGTGAAGATTTGATGATTAGTCAATCTGATCAATGCAGTTAGGCAAACTAGATGGTTCAGGTTCATTAGGTCGCCTTGGTTGATGCATTAGACATACCAGTCTGCTGCGAATCAGGGTGGCTTGGATATTTGCCTGTGTGTGGTCTTTCTCACTTGACACAATAAACAATGGATCTGCAAAATAAACAATCAAGTAGCATAACAAATAGAACATATCTACCCCTAGGCTGAGAATAATGGCAAAGCAATGTAATCTCTTAATTGGAAAACAAATTTAAAAGTTTAAATATTGCCCTACTCTGCAGCAGCTCATGCTCTGTTGTGCATGTGGCCCTGTTACTCTACCACTTCTACCAGTAACAGTTGTCAAGATGATTTTCTTTTCTGAGTATTCCAAGTCAGCATATGGAAGTGGAATGCATAAAGAAAGTCTAGCATGTTTTCAAGTACTACACCCTAAACACACTTTATAATCTCTCTTACGAACAAAACTCCTTCTGAGCCTGGGTAGCCCAAAAAATTCTTTAAGGGAAAGACCTTGTATATATGCACTATGCCAATTTGCAAGGGAAAGAAGCAGTACATTTATACTATCTCCCATCTTTGATGCACTAGAAAGATGCAAACCACATGATATCTCAGAACTGGTGAACATGATTTAAAAAAATCAGCTATCTTCAGAATTCACCCCTTAAGTTTGTAAGTTTGCTGATGATGGGACCATTATTTTTACAAAGTCCAACAGAATATTGCCCTGCTATTATAAGTATCTGTTTATCAGGTATATCTTTAAAGTGATGAAGACTATTCATGATTGACTATACTGTACTGCCCTTTAAAATCAACTGATTTGCCATTAAATTAACAAGCAGCCTTCAGATATATTTGATTTCCCAAATAGACTTGTTTTTGGGGAGGCAAATACCCTGACCAGCTAGTCTAGATAACATGGTAACACGTATTTCTCCATAGAAATTAATAAACTGGGAATTGTGATTTAGAAATGTCTCTTTTGAATTTGGATAATGTGTGTTAATTCCTAAAAGCTAATAATTCATCAGTTACCCAACAAATATGATTTATTGAATGCAGACATTTGATATTCCCACCAAGGCTGAAAAGCTGCAAGAGGCTCAGGTTCTTTTTGCTCCTTCATTCAACACATGTTTATTGACTGGCTGCTCTATCTAGGTGCTTAGAATACATCAACAAAACGACAAAAATCTTTGACTTCGTACGAGAGAGACAATAAACAACAAACATAATAAACTAGCAAATTAGACATTAGAATTTGAGGGCTGTTATTTTTTAAAAAGAAGAAATCGGGTAAGGGAGACTGGGTGGCAATTTTAACTAGGGTGGTCAGGACAGGCCCTTGAGAAGGTGGCATGTATAGAGACTTGAAGGTAAGGGAGTTAGCTAGTTAGATACCTGAAGAATATTCTAGGATGGGAGCATGCCTGATACATCTGAAGAACAGCAAAGTCCCTAGGATGGGAACATGCCTGATACATCTGAAGAATAGCAAAGAAATCAGGACAAATGAGGCAGAATGAAGGAGGGAAAAGAGAGCAGATAAGAGGCCAGATAAGCAACTAGGGAACTAATCACATAGGGCTTTGTAGGGAAGGGTAAAAGAGCCTGGAAAGGAGTTCATCTTTGCACCACCACAGTTCTGTCAAGGTGGAAACCTGGCCCAAGGCCAGTCAATTCATTGGCCAGCCAACAACCAATCTTAAATTTCTAACTTAAATTTTCAGCTACAGTACACAAAGATGCTATACAATTGGTGGTGAGCTTTAGGGCTAACTAGTCAAGAAGCAGGCCACCCTAGTCCCTATCATAGTAAGAGAAATCCATACACAAGAGGCTTTCTGTCAGATGGAAGAAGTAAGCAAGCATAGTGATGTCTTGCTTAGTGATGGGGATACGTTCTTAGAAACGGGTCATGAGGTGAGCTTACCATTGTGTAAATATCGGAGGGTGTTTAACATAAACCTAGATGGTATAACCTACTCCACACCTAGGCTATGTAGCATAGCCTATTGCTCCTAGGCTACAAACCCATACAGCATGTTATTGTACTGAATACTGTAGACAACTGTAACACAATGGTATTTGTATATCTAAACAGAAAAAGTGATGCATTGTGCTACAATGTTATGACAGCTACAACGTCACTAGGTATTTGGAGTTTTTCAACTTCATTATAATCTTATGGGACCATCCTTATACATGTAGTCCACTGTGGACCAAAATATCATTACTTGGGGCTTGACTATACATAGAAAGAAGGCTAGAGTTGCCAGATAAAATACAGGATGTCCAGTTAAATTTATATTCAGATAGGCAATGAATAATTTTTTAGTATAAATATGTTCCAAAATATTGCACAGGACAAAAATTTATACTAAAATATTATTCGTTATCTGAAATTCAAGCTTAACTGTGCATCTTGTATTTTTATTTGCTAAATGTGGCAACCCTAACAAGGTGAAAGGTCATAAGGTCAAAGAAAGAAAGCAGGAGAGCACAGCATCTTAGTTCTGATCTTCCCCGTCCAGGTTCTCATCTGCCATGGCTATACTTCGCTTCCTGTCCATGAATACCGGCGAGATTGTCTGTTTTATAACAACACAAACTTTAATTCGATCTACTCTGAGTGAATTTCTGTTCTTAGCAAGGCACATGGAAACATTTAGCAATTCCTCTGCAAAAGAGACACTTATGCATCAAAGAAACCACCAGCTTAATAAATACTTTGGGGAGATGTTTGTCCTCCTTCTCAAATTACCCGTGAAAAAAATATGGTGATGTGTTTACAGGAGCTAACTTGATTTATTTCACAAAACCAAGAGTAAATACAGAAAACCACTGGCCAGAATATGTCAGGAATCACTACACAGCCTCTATCTAGGAATGTGTACTCTAGAGATTCCCACACAAAGGAGACCCTGGGATTCCCAGAGGCAACACCACATTGCTGAAAGCAATGCAAGGTTCAGGTGAAAAACCTGGGACTGCAGAGGGCAAAATTGGAAAAAAAGCATGCTTAGCTGGTTACAATTCTTGCCACGGCAAATTCAATAAACATTTATTAATTGAAGCGCCTAGTACATGTATCAGCACTAGAATAGGTGCTCACAAGGCTACAAAAATATACAGAATAGGAACCTAAGGAACTCAAGGAGCATGGAGAGAGAGAAAACACAAAACGCACAAGCAAGCCGTTAAAATAAACTGGGCCTTTGTTGGCCCAAGAGGAGCCAGCGGACCTAGTCTATAAACAATGCTTTGACGCAGAAGTTGAAAACAAAAACAAAAACAAAACCTAAAAGCAAGCATGAGATAAACTGGCACTTTTTTTCGCCCAACTTGTATTTGCCCAGAGAGTAGGAGACAAAAGATTATTTTCGTAGGGCATTTTATGCAGGAACATTGAGTGAATCTCCGAGTCTACAAATCGTTGCATACTTTTCTGGGTACCAAAATGCCCGGAACAGGTATCAGGAAGATCGCCCCTTGAAGCGGAGCGCACCCACGCCTTTCGATGCACGCGAACCCCCGACCCCACCCTGAGTGCGGGCACCTGGAGGGCTCCGAGCTGCCCCCACCCGACCAGGGACAACCGCGGGTAAGAGGTCAGTCCAGAGGGTCGTCTTTCGTTCGCCATGCCCCTGGCCAGGTCCCGCCATCTGGGAGCCCACCTGGCCCAGAAGTGGACGGACGCGGAAGAAGGTCTGCGACTGTCCTTACCGTACAGAAAATCATACGCTCGATTGGAGGAGATGTGGCTCCCAGCCCGCGACCTCTCCCGGTACCGAGTTTGAGACACCTGAGGCTGGGCCTGGGGCTCCTGGATGGTTACTGCGTGGCTCATGGTACCGCCTCTTTCTTCGGGCCAGCAGGGGACCAGCTGGTCTGGCTTGGCTGCTGCGTGCACGTCGCTATGGTAACCGCCGCCGGCGCCAGGGGATAAGGGGCGGGGCCAGGAGAAGGGAGGAGGCCGCGGGGCGGGGCCGAAGAGGAGTGGAGAAAAATGAAAGCAGGAGTGGCCGGCCAAGAGTCGGGAGGGGAGTGGAGGGGAAGATGAGACGAGAGGGGAGAGGCAGGGTGAAGGAGGAAAAGGCTTGCTTCCCTCTACACTCCAGAGACAGTGGGGAGGCTGGGAGAAAGCTACTCTTAAGTCATTGATTTGCCAGTTACACCTCGTAGCCTCTCGGAAATCCCTGAGAGAGCTCAGAACCTTCAAGAATAATTGGGTTCTTCCCCGCCCCGCTTCCCCAGCCCTTTTCCAGGGGACTTGTCCCGAGAGCTGCGGAATTCAGTCAGGTTCCTAAATGTTGCTCCTTAGCACGCTGTGAACTTTGCCCCACACTCGTGAGCATCAGTGTTTAGGGTGGGTTAGGTAATCAGTAACTGTTGATCTGAGACTGCTGACCCTTTCTGAGTCCTGGGCATTAGATAACAGAAGATGATGTGGGGTAAGCACTGGCTCTGCTTTTAAAAAGTATTTATAATGGAAAATTTTAAACATTAACATAAGTGATTCTACTTTTAATAACAAACCCTCAAGTAATCCATCCCTCAGAATCAACATTTAGCAACATTTTGCCAATGAAGTTTCAGTTTCTTTCCCCTCTTTTTAAAAGAAATCCTAGACATAATATTATTTTACCCTTAAATTAGTCTGCATCTCAAACTGATACAGATTTTTAAAATTTAACTACCGCTATCATATCTAATAAAATTAACAATAATTCCTTAGTACTATAAATATTCCAATTTTCCTGTCTGAGTCCAAATTGTCTTTTATAGTTGGTTTGTTCTAGTCAAGATCCAAAAAAAAAAAAAAAGTCCACATTTTGCATTTTGGTATATCTCTTATCCTAGAGCAGTGAATTTCTAATACTTTCAATAATTCTCTATTTATTACCAGAGGTTCTTCTATAAAAGGAACTTTTTCATACCAACTCATTGGTTATCCTGAGATAACCAGGATAACCCCATAGAGGAAAGACTGGGTAAATGCTGAATTCGTTCTCTTTAATTATGAAATTTCAGAGGCATGAGTTGGTGCCCTACCAAACTCCAGAGTTAACCACAAAGTTTTTATTTGTTTGATATCATTATGAATGCATGCATTTTTTACAGATCTGATGTTTCAATCTATTATGATCATTATTATTTATTATACTCACATTATTAAAGCTAATGGCATGCCTTAGAGTTGGCTTCTTTGTCCTTTAATGTTGAGATGAGAAGTCTTCCGATCAAAGATTTTTCTTGATCGAAGGGTTCATGGTCTCACGGGCTTCAAGGAATGAAGCTGTGGTCCGCAGCTGCGAATGTTACAGCTTTACTAGAGAAATGCGTGGACCCAAAGAATATGCCATGGCAAGATTTGTTAAAGCCAAAGCAAAAGTTAAGGGAAAGTGAAAGTAAAGCTTCCACGTGGTGGAAGGGGACCCCAAAGGATTGCCGTTTCTGACTTGGGTGTCTTACGTTTATATCCCTTATGACTCCTCCCCTTTACCTTTTTCTGTCCTGTAGAATTAGCTTATTTTCTATCCACTTGTGGGTTTGTAGCAGGAGGAGCTGCAGACAAGAACCACTCAGACACCGAGTTGTGGAAGGAAAGGGCTTTGTTCAGCTGGGAGCATTGGCGGACTCACGTCTCCAAAAACCAAGCTCCCAGAGTGAGCAATTCCTGTCCCTTTTAAGGGCTTACAACTCTAAGAGGGTCCACGTGAGAGGGTTGTGATAGATTGAGCAAGCAGTGGGTACATGACTGGGAGCTGCATGCACTGGTAATCAGAATGGAAAATAATAGGACAGGGATTTTCACACTGCTTTTCCATACAATGTCTGGAATCTATAGATAACATAACCTGTTAGGTCAGGGGTCGATCTTTAACTGCCAGGCCCAGGGCACGGTGCTGGGCTGTCTGCCTGTGGATTTCATTTCTGCCTTTTAGTTTTTAATTCTTCTTTCCTTGGAGGCAGAAATTGGGCATAAGACAATATGAGGGGTGGTCTCCTCCCTTAGGTTGGTGGGCCTGGTTGGTTAAAAACATCAGGCTGCAGCTAGAGCTTAAACGGTCGTCTTTCGTTCGCCATGCCCCTGGCCAGGTCCCGCCATCTGGGAGCCCACCTGGCCCAGAAGTGGACGGACGCGGAAGAAGGTCTGCGACTGTCCTTACCGTACAGAAAATCATACGCTCGATTGGAGGAGATGTGGCTCCCAGCCCGCGACCTCTCCCGGTACCGAGTTTGAGACACCTGAGGCTGGGCCTGGGGCTCCTGGATGGTTACTGCGTGGCTCATGGTACCGCCTCTTTCCTCGGGCCAGCAGGGGACCAGCTGGTCTGGCTTGGCTGCTGCGTGCACGTCGCTATGGTAACCGCCGCCGGCGCCAGGGGATAAGGGGCGGGGCCAGGAGGAGGGAGGAGGCCGCGGGGCGGGGCCGAAGAGGAGTGGAGAAAAATGAAAGCAGGAGTGGCCGGCCAAGAGTCGGGAGGGGAGTGGAGGGGAAGATGAGACGAGAGGGGAGAGGCAGGGTGAAGGAGGAAAAGGCTTGCTTCCCTCTACACTCCAGAGACAGTGGGGAGGCTGGGAGAAAGCTACTCTTAAGTCATTGATTTGCCAGTTACACCTCGTAGCCTCTCGGAAATCCCTGAGAGAGCTCAGAACCTTCAAGAATAATTGGGTTCTTCCCCGCCCCGCTTCCCCAGCCCTTTTCCAGGGGACTTGTCCCGAGAGCTGCGGAATTCAGTCAGGTTCCTAAATGTTGCTCCTTAGCACGCTGTGAACTTTGCCCCACACTCGTGAGCATCAGTGTTTAGGGTGGGTTAGGTAATCAGTAACTGTTGATCTGAGACTGCTGACCCTTTCTGAGTCCTGGGCATTAGATAACAGAAGATGATGTGGGGTAAGCACTGGCTCTGCTTTTAAAAAGTATTTATAATGGAAAATTTTAAACATTAACATAAGTGATTCTACTTTTAATAACAAACCCTCAAGTAATCCATCCCTCAGAATCAACATTTAGCAACATTTTGCCAATGAAGTTTCAGTTTCTTTCCCCTCTTTTTAAAAGAAATCCTAGACATAATATTATTTTACCCTTAAATTAGTCTGCATCTCAAACTGATACAGATTTTTAAAATTTAACTACCGCTATCATATCTAATAAAATTAACAATAATTCCTTAGTACTATAAATATTCCAATTTTCCTGTCTGAGTCCAAATTGTCTTTTATAGTTGGTTTGTTCTAGTCAAGATCCAAAAAAAAAAAAAAAGTCCACATTTTGCATTTTGGTATATCTCTTATCCTAGAGCAGTGAATTTCTAATACTTTCAATAATTCTCTATTTATTACCAGAGGTTCTTCTATAAAAGGAACTTTTTCATACCAACTCATTGGTTATCCTGAGATAACCAGGATAACCCCATAGAGGAAAGACTGGGTAAATGCTGAATTCGTTCTCTTTAATTATGAAATTTCAGAGGCATGAGTTGGTGCCCTACCAAACTCCAGAGTTAACCACAAAGTTTTTATTTGTTTGATATCATTATGAATGCATGCATTTTTTACAGATCTGATGTTTCAATCTATTATGATCATTATTATTTATTATACTCACATTATTAAAGCTAATGGCATGCCTTAGAGTTGGCTTCTTTGTCCTTTAATGTTGAGATGAGAAGTCTTCCGATCAAAGATTTTTCTTGATCGAAGGGTTCATGGTCTCACGGGCTTCAAGGAATGAAGCTGTGGTCCGCAGCTGCGAATGTTACAGCTTTACTAGAGAAATGCGTGGACCCAAAGAATATGCCATGGCAAGATTTGTTAAAGCCAAAGCAAAAGTTAAGGGAAAGTGAAAGTAAAGCTTCCACGTGGTGGAAGGGGACCCCAAAGGATTGCCGTTTCTGACTTGGGTGTCTTACGTTTATATCCCTTATGACTCCTCCCCTTTACCTTTTTCTGTCCTGTAGAATTAGCTTATTTTCTATCCACTTGTGGGTTTGTAGCAGGAGGAGCTGCAGACAAGAACCACTCAGACACCGAGTTGTGGAAGGAAAGGGCTTTGTTCAGCTGGGAGCATTGGCGGACTCACGTCTCCAAAAACCAAGCTCCCAGAGTGAGCAATTCCTGTCCCTTTTAAGGGCTTACAACTCTAAGAGGGTCCACGTGAGAGGGTTGTGATAGATTGAGCAAGCAGTGGGTACATGACTGGGAGCTGCATGCACTGGTAATCAGAATGGAAAATAATAGGACAGGGATTTTCACACTGCTTTTCCATACAATGTCTGGAATCTATAGATAACATAACCTGTTAGGTCAGGGGTCGATCTTTAACTGCCAGGCCCAGGGCACGGTGCTGGGCTGTCTGCCTGTGGATTTCATTTCTGCCTTTTAGTTTTTAATTCTTCTTTCCTTGGAGGCAGAAATTGGGCATAAGACAATATGAGGGGTGGTCTCCTCCCTTAGGTTGGTGGGCCTGGTTGGTTAAAAACATCAGGCTGCAGCTAGAGCTTAAACTCCCTATGTGATTGGTTGAAGTTTCAATCCCTTAATTTGCAGCTGGGACTCACTTTGGCTTAGTGGAAAGTCCCCTTTGATTGATTGAAGTTTCAATCCCTTAACTTGCAGCTATGACTGATTTTGGCTTAGGGGAAAGTCCTGTAGGGAAGTTCCTATTGAACCAGGAAGTCCAGCCAGCTTAGCCACTTAGTCCCTCAATGTGATCCACAGACACTTCCTGAATATGCTTCCTGGCCTATGACTCTTTCTGCATATACTCCTGGTTTTAACTTATTGTCTCTACTTCTAAATTTCTTGGGGTTTTTGAAAACCAGCTATGTCCTAGGTCTG